TTTAAAAAAAAAAAAAAAAAAAAGAAAAGGTGGAAGGGACACCGAAGACCTGCTTTAGTCTGATGCTTGTGAGATGAATGGACGTCGTGGGGAGCAGCCTTGATGAGGAGACCACGCCTGAGGAACTACCACATTTACTCTGGTGGGCTGTGAGCCTCTCCCTGCCCTGAGCACAGCACTGCGTGGACGCCCCAAAGCACACAAAGCCCCAGACCTCCCCCGCTTCACGTCAGCTCGAGGTGCAGAACCTCTGGATCCTTTCTCCATTATGGAGAAGCTTTTGGTTCCCTGCCACACCTGAGCGGATTCTGAAGGCTCTGGTCTTAGCACCGACTGGGACTGACCAGAACTGGGCACCATGGCCGGGAATGCCCATCTTTCCTCCCTGCTGGACACACCGAGGCCTTCTAACAAAGCCGCCTGGGGATGGTCCTCCTCTTCTCCAGGCATGTCACATCACCCGCCCAGTGTCTGCCCCGGCCCTCCTTCTCATCCACAACAAAACCCTGCTTGAAAGGTGCCATTCCTGAAACCGGAGCTGGAGGCCCGGAGCTTTCAGATGAGGAGCCCCAGCTCCGGACATCCAGGGTTTGCGTGTTACTCTCGCCAGTTCACATGCAAGGATCTTACTAACCTTGAACTCATGAAATTTCACACATTACCTTAAACAAGATATTTTCTAACTTGTGGGATAACAGAAAGAAAAGAAAAAATAACCAAGAAGATATTAATTGTTCCTGTCTGAAAAAGTCTTACCACAGTGCTCTCGGATCACTCCTGATTTTCAAGAGGAATAATTTCTTCTCTGACGAAAAACTCAATGGTCTCCTCCTCCCAGTCATCCACGTTGCTGTCCAGCTCGTCCGTGTCCACGCCTAAGAGGAGAAGCAGGAGGAGGGGCTATGAGGGCGTGCAGACATGCAGGAGCCACACCAGTGCTGGTGGATTCAACCTCCTGGATCTCACACACGCACATGCACACACACACCAGCCAAGAGGCCAGTGTGAACACAGCAATGGACTATGGACTTGAAACTGTAGGCAGCAGGAAACTCTCGATTCTTTGATAATTTAAGAATCTTCAGACAACACTCTACTGAAAAACTTGGGAAATTAGATGCAGAGAAGAAAAATATTTTAGCAAATATATGCTTTAAAAATGTATCTTTGGCTAATAAAATTACCTCCTCGCAACTGGAGACGTTCATTTTTCTGCTCCATATAGAGTTCTTGGGCCATTTTCCGGTATTTCCGGAAATCTTCCATCATGGTTCGTCTTCTCTCCACCAATTCCTATGTACAGAGTTGGGGTAAAGTTACAGAACAAATGAAAATGACACGTGGTCAGCAGTAACCCCACCTAATGTAAGGCCTACTTTATTTAAAGAGACTCGGGACAGGAATGGTGGGGTGTGTTTGGTCTCATCTTCTTCCTCTAACACTGCCCCCCACATACCCCCACCGTATCTGAGAAGCCAGCCACCAAGAGGGCTACAGTCAGGCCCTAAGGCCCACAGCTGCCCCCACCAGACTCTCCCCGCCTGGAGAAACGACTCTCCCTGAGCAGACACTACCCTCCTCCCAGAGCCTGACACTGGCCCTCTGCTGGCCCCACTCCCCAGGGAGGGCCGGGGGCTCTTTGCGTATCCTCAGTCCTAGAACCAGGCTAACCTTGGAGGCTTTGGATTGGCTCAAACGATCCTTCTGTTCAAAGATCTTGGAGTATTTCTTCAAATCCTTTTTAATTTGCTGAAAACAGAGACAAGTCACTCAGGATTTAAACATTCAAAGCAAGAACCAAAAATGTAATCTTGGAAGTTGCCAACAGGAAATGACACCCTCCCAGATGAACAGAACACGGCCTCCCAGGAGCACTCAGTGTCTGCTCTCTGAGGTTCCCATCCTTGAGGCTGCTCCCTTTCCTGGGGGCTATACTCTCCTCTTAGCTTTGCCCTAATGCCATCAGCACCTCTTACCATAATTATGTAAACCCCACAGGCGGGTCCCTCCTAACCCTAAGAGGATGTTTTCACAGCCCCTGGCACCTTTTCATTGCCCCTCAGTTCATGCAAACTTCCTAGCACGGTGCTGACATGGCCTTACCCTGAAAACCTAAGTTCACTATCTTGTTCTGTTTGCTTCCTATTGTTCTTGCATCCCTTCAAAGGGGCCCCATAAACGTCACGTTTCCACTCCCACTCATCACCACCCCAACAGTAACAGGAAAAAAGAACTGCATTTTCTCTTTCACAATCACTTCCACGTCCCTTAACCTGGTGGGGACCCAAGACCTTAATCTGCTCCTGGCTCAGGAGTGTTGGGGGCCGAGGTCTCCACAGCAGCTGGCAGAAGCGATCCTTGTTGTTCTTCTGCAGAAGGCGTCCTTGGAAAGTCCACAGCCAGTAAGCATTGTCCACCTAGGAGAGAAAAGAGGCCAAACAGAGCTGCTCACTCCACTGAGTTACACCAACACGTGAGATCCTGAGATCTTTACTGCCAACAGAACCAACAAAATTAACCACTTCATTCAACAGATGTTTGAGAACCAATAACTTGCCAAATGATGTTGTTGGTATTTGAGAGACACTGGTGAACAAAACAAAGATCTCTCCCTCCACTCCCTCCACTGAGCTGACATGCAGCAGGGGGAACACAGTCGATAAATAAGAGAGACAAAAACTTATGTTGTAAATTACGGAGTGCAGCATACATAGCAGCTAGAACAGTGCTAATAAAGCACAGGCTTTATCTGCGACAAGGAACTTGTGCCAGAAGGTAAAGTGACTACACACCAGACAGACTGTCTAGTTCAGCTGACATTTTTTCTGTAGAAGACTTTCTTGATGAAGAAAGCAGAGCCTTAGTTTATTCTCCAGGGTAATCTTGGTCCAGACCAGCACTTTTGGACCATGTCAAAATTTAACACAGAGTGGTGAACAATCTGAAAGGTTTTTAAGTGTCAAGGTAGGCCTCATGGGGCGACATTTGAACAAATCAGGACATAGGTATGGTCAATATATCCTGATCTGAACGGAAAGATGATGTCTGCTAAGTCTGTGTTCCTAAAAGTTCATTAGGTCATTAAACAGAATTACCCTTACTTGATCTCACAGGCTCCGTGTATGTGCATGAGCTGGTTCAACCGTCAATACCCCAACCAATTAAAAAACAGCAATCCAATACAAAAAGAAATCCTCAGCCAACTTGACCATCAGCTGGGGAGTAATGAGCTGGGGAACAGTGCTGAAAAAAGACAGCAGCATTCAGACACTGTACAGACACAAACTCTGCCCCCCACCCCCGGGGACAGGGCGAGGCAGAGCACAGACTTTTTTAAATTCTTCAGGTTATGTGTCTTTTTTGAGACTCTAAAGGAATTGGATCCTCTCCCCCAAAAGCCACTTGTGTACACGCACATTTTCATGCCCTCCAGGGAGTTTCCAGGCCCCAGGATAGGAAGCCCTCTCACCAGTGGCCACACCCTGCTCCCGCCACGACTCAACCTCCTTCTGCATTCACAGAACCCTACTTCTACTTCCACTGACAGACTCTCAACTTTTTGCCAGACAAAGATGATGATCTTTTCAAGAAATTAAAAACAGGAATGGTAAAGGTTTTCTTGCATGCCAATTCACTCAGTCAGCAAACACTATGTGCCACGCAGTTTCAGATGCTGGGACATGGCTGAGAACAGAAGAAAAAAGGCTCTTGCCCTCACGATGATCCATTCTAGCAGGAAAAGAGATAATGAACTCCTAACAATCAACTAGGACAAATTCAGACCGTTTTGAGCACTATGAAAACAGAGTAGGGTGAGAGGACGCAGTGATCAGGCAGGAGAGGGGGGCCTCTGCGGTCATGCGCTTGAGGACACCCGAACAGTAGGAAGCACCAAACCCACAGGAAGTACATTCCAGGCAGGGGAGGGGTGCAAAGGCCATGAAGTAGGAAGAAGCATGGGTGCTTGGGGTCAGTGCGGCCTCCACTCAGGGAGCAGGCACACTCGTGGGGCATACACCAGAGGCCAGCAGAAGCTACAGCACAGAGGACCTAACAGGCTGGGCGACCAGATAATGATGGTTCAAACCAGGAACCTTGAGAGGGAAATAACTGGAGGGAAATAATTCTCCCTCCAACCATGAGCCACAGTAAGCAGCTTGATTGAATTCTAAACGTTAGTGGGAGGGTTATAAACTGGGAAATTGTACACTCTGATTCCCATGTTAAAGAGCTCTCTGGTTACTGCACCAGATGATGGCAGCCTGGACTTGGGCTGTAGCAGGCATAGACGTGATCTAACTTAGGAAAAAGAGAAACCAAGGAACGCCAACCTATTTATGGAAAAGGCTGGCTGCCTTAGGTGCTCTGCTGAGAGTATTCTGAGACAGCCTGGGCTGGGCATGAAAGATCGACTAGTTAACGGATCATCAGCAAGGCCCACCCCTGCTGAGACACAGGAAGGGAGAAGGTGATGCCGTGCTTGGTACCCTTCCCGAGGTGAGGAGAGTCAGCCACAAGCCCAGCACAGCCTGGTTTCATACTGCACCAAGGCTACACAGGTCCGCATACCTTATGGCTCCACCAGGACACAGAGGTGACAACATAACGCCCAGTAGGATCCCACTCCACATCGGAGGCCATATAGTGTTCTGCAATGTTCATGACCGTACAGTCCGAAGTGTCAACAAATGCCAAGGCGCCATTCATACTGGGGAGACAGACAGCACGGTCAGCCTTCAAGAAGAACCTGGCTTATGTACTACACCCTGTTCTCGCATTCCCCCTCCTGGAGAGGCTCTATGGTGAGGATACAGAGCATGGATGCAGCACCTCGGGCACTCCCTAACCACTGTCTCACTGTGAATGTAGAAATAATAACAGTAAGGATGTCCTGAGGATGCTATGAATGAAGACACATAAAGTGCATGTGATAAGCACTGTATATGTCTGCTAGTATTATTTTTAGAAGATTATCTGAGGCCAAGCCTCCAAAAACACAATAGGAAGCGTCTACAATGAAGGAGGAAAATAACCAACTAAGGGTATTCTGCTAACACACAGGAGGAACACTGCAAGCTCCTCACTGTTTCTATACGTTCTGTTGGAACAGCAACTAAGTACAGAGCAAGGGAGGACAATGTTTCCGCTCTCTTGGTGAAGTGAAGACAGGCTTACAGCTGTCTAAGTAAATATTCTTCCTACAAGATGACGTGGATTTTACGTTAGGGTAACTGGACTGCCAGAAAGAGTTCCTGTTTAACCACGATGGAACAACAACATGCAGACATGTCTTCCAGGGCCAGTAATTGAAAGCATTTGCAAGTGACTGTTTTCCTCTGCCTGGTCTTGGCCTAAGTCTGGGGAGCACGACAGAGACACCGTGGAACAATGAGGTGCCACCTACCGACACTGGGATGATCCTTTTCTGCAAGAACACCCTCTCTGACAAGTTCTCAAGGAATGACAGCACCGTCATTACCATTTAGAGCCCAGAGCACAAGATGTGGGCTCCAGGGTCAGGGTCTCCACAGCAGCCCACAGAGCACCACTCTGGGAGCAGACGACAGACAGCAGAAACCCACCTCCTCAGACCAGCCAACACCACAAACTGTCCTTGGGGACTCCAGAAGATGGTATTTGCCTGCTGTTTATCAAACATTTCTGCAAGGAAAGAAAATATGAAGTCTTTGTAAAGGTTCTAGAGAGGACATGCAGTCAAGACCGAAAGATGGGCAGTGGGTTCACGCTGCCCCCTAGGGGTACGTCTCGTAAAGCCGACTTTTAGCCAGAACTCTCTCTCTATGTACCATGCCTATTTGCTACCTGTGAGAACAAGAAAACCCATCATTTAAATACACCTTAAATTATGACCTACACTTTAAAAAAAAAGAGGGGGCGGGGGTATTTTGGAGCTGCAATACTGTTTTTAATAACATTCTATATTCAAAACAATTTACTTCACAAGGTAATGGGACAAAGAACTCCATTTAGAGTAAATACTCATTAGCACAGGGACTCTACACCACGGCGAGGAATCCAGTTTCCAGCAGATGCTCAAAGAGATATGGGACCCAAAAGAGCCTAAAATCATTCTTCCAGTGACTCAAACATCTTTTTAAATGGCATGCTCCTAAAAACTTTTTAAATCCATCATCTCTCCAATATCCTAATACTCTAAATACCACTTATGTCCTGCAAGGACCCGGGCAGAGCCACTGGAGGGGGAGTTCAGTGTGTACCCTGGGGGTCTCTTCACTTAGAGTGGACACAAAGTTAACATCTGGGGTATCTTTATCTCAGCCTGCAGTAGATCCAAGAAACACGGGCAGAGTGGGGAGAGGGGAGAAGCTCCAACACCGACCCTGAGCATTCAAGGAAAGGAGGACGCAGAGTATTCAGGGGGTAGAAGGCCTTTTATACTTGTGTCTGTTTTATAACGAGACGAGAGAAATCTTCTGATAGCCTATGACTGTCCCCATTTCCTTTTATATCAAGGGAATTAATAATTCAATCAACCTTGTGAGACAGCCCAAGATCCTATCACAAAATGATTCCATCACAAACACCACTAAGCTTTAGGAAATGAAAACTAAATTCATTACAGAATTCTCTCAGGAAAAGCTATTGCTGGGTCACATGAATCCCAGTCAGGTACTGGGATAAACACACTGAGGAAGCCCTGTGTGATGCACCCGGGAGCCCCCTCCCCAGGGTGGGGATCGAGAGATCTTCCATTTCCTCAGTCACCACACGAAGAAAGTGCTATGAAGCAACAGGCCGGCATTAGCTCAACCCCACAGCACTAAGGCCCTGCCGTGTGAGCTCCACGCTGAGCACTGAGGAGGCAGGATGAGAGGAAGGAACAGGAGGCCTTGGAGGAGCCCAGTTTGTGCAAGAAGCCAGCCAGCAGTCAGAGTCCCAGTCTGACAGTGCCAACACTGCTGAGGAAGAAGGGCCCTCCTTACCTCTACAGCACAAACAGGGGAATGAACGAGGTCCCTTGCAGGCAGAGTAGAGCAAGAGTGGGAACCAGGGCATCCAGACTGAAGGGTGGTGGGCCATGTGACCCCCCCAAGCCCAGAGACAGCAGCTGCGGCCACGAAAAGACGAGACCATCCACCCAAAACAAGGGTGGGAGCTGAAGTCTAGAAACACGAATGTACAAGGCCCTCCACGGGAGCTCACAGAAGGCCGATTCTTCGTGGATATAAAGCACTCCAGGTGAGTCATCGCCACCATCCTCAGCACCACTCATGAACAATGGGAAATCACACGGACTCATCCAGCTGCGGGTTTAGGCCTGAGCAGCTGCTCCGGGGCCAGCCGCACACCCTCTGTGGAGCAACGACTAAGTCCTATCCTGTATGCACTGACCTATCCGCCCACTCCCGCACGGGCCGAGACTACTCACTGATGAGCTCGATCTTCCCGTTGCTTTTCACGTGGTAGAAAGAAACTGATATCCTAGGAGCCTCCCCGTGCAGCACAGCAAACTTGCTCCCGTTTGGCTCCCAGGCAAAGGCTATGATAGTTTCTACAACCAAGAAAAAGGGTGAGTCCCTCTTTGGTCATTTAAGAAAACAACATTCCTGATTAGTTAAAAGTTTTCACTACTGAACCAGAGAAATGCCCCAAATTCTTGAATTCATTAAAAGGACCACAGAGCAGGCACAGGAACAGAGGCTCTGGCTCCTATGGAGTTTCAAAAGCAGCACATTTAATTCGTGCAAGGTGACCTACGTGAAACTTGGCCTTTCCTGACAGTCACGCCCGCAGCTGGGCTGTGAGGAGCCTGATGTCGGGTGTAGCCTGTGGACGTCACCGTTCTTACCGTCGCTGCTGAACTCACAGTAGAATTCTACAGCCTCAGGAGGGTTACCAATGTCCTTCTACCTAGGCAGGGTGGCCTGGTTTCACACTTTCCCATCTCTGTACTTTCCTCTTCCCTCCCTCCTTCCCTCCCAACCAAAACAGAAAACAAAACTAAAACAGAAAACCAACCAAACAAAATACATAGGTTAAATGTTCCACCTAAAGGCAGAAACACAGCATTTGAACAGTTTTCATGAGTCCAAAGAAAAGCTCTATTAAACGGAGAACTTTTGCATGTAAGAAGAGCTCTTCTGCTGTCGCTGAACGTGTAAGGAAAACCTAGTCCTCACACATTCTCTCCTCAGTGTGAAAAATGGCTGGAGTCCTTGCCCCTCTCTGTGTAACCGATGTGAAGAGAGAGCGGGGCATCTCTGCCTGGCAACTAGAAAAGTTAAGAGACTGAAGTTGGAAAGGACAAAAGAAAAACCTAAACTCACGAACGCATGATCTGTAAGAGGGACAGACGCTGTTCACTGTGAGTTACAGTCCAGAGTCTGGACCATTTTTGCTTTGGCAGTGAATTCACACTGAAGTTTCAAAGTATAAGTATAAAGCAGCACATAAGGACCCTTCAACTACACATAACCACAGGGGGACTTGCCTTTCATTTCGACCACATCAACAGGTACCTGTTTTTCCCTCATTCGGAAAATTTCAAAATTTGTGACAACACCCTGTTAAAAAGAAAAAAAAAAAGGAAGGGGTGACATTCTGGAAACTGAAAGCATAAGATTTAAATCAAAGGACAACTTAAGAATTTAATGAAAGATTAAATTTATACACCTGGTAAAGATGTGAGTACTTGAAGTGATTAAAATTACACCCTTCATGATGAAACCAGAACTCTCAAATGCTGATGGACGTACAAATTGGTAGTCTCATGGAGAACAACTGGATACACTTTCTCTCTCTCTGGCCCAGATTCTACTTCAAAGAACTGCCTTAAAGGTCAGACTCATGCACATGTAGGTTCAAGGATACTCATGGCAGGGCCGGCCCCGTGGCTTAGCGGTTAAGTGCGTGCGCTCCGCTGCTGGCGGCCCAGGTTCGGACCCCGGGCGCGCACTGACGCACCGCTTCTCCGGCCATGCTGAGGCCGCATCCCACATACAGCAACTAGAAGGATGTGCAGCTATGACATACAACTATCTACTGGGGCTTTAGGGGGAAAAATAAATAAATAAAATTATTTAAAAAAAAAAATGGATACTCATGGCAGCTTGTCTGCAAAACTTCTGAAATGCCCTAAAAGTCCACCAATGGGGACTGATTAAACTATTTCAAAACAGTGGAATATCCTGCAGCATGATCTTCAAGAAATACTCTTCTATAAAAAGCAGGGTGCTGCAATATTCATAATAGCCAAGGTGGAAACAAGCCAATGTCCATCAACAGATGAATGAACAAACATGAGGTAGTACAGCTGTACAATGGGAAATGACTTGGCCATCAAAAGGAATGAGATACTGATATATGCCACAACCTGGAGAAGCCTTGAAAACATGCTACTGAAGGAAGCCAGATACAAAAGGCCACACAGTCTACGATGCCATTCACATGAGATGTCCAGAATGGAGAAATCCATAGAGACAGAAAGCAAGAAAGTAGATTAGCTGATGTCAGGAGGTAGGGAGTAGGCAATGTGGTAACGGGGGTGACTAATGGGAGTGCAATGTCTTTCTGAGGTGATGCAAGTGTTCTGGAATTAAGATAGTGGTGAAAGGCACTGGCCTGGTGGCACAGTGGTTAAGTTTGCACACTCTGCTTCAGCAGCCCAGGGTTCACAGGTTCAGATCCTGGGCATGGACCTATGCACCGCCTGTCAAGCCATGCTGTGGCAGAGTCCCATATAAAGTAGAGGAAGATGGGCACGGATGTTAGGCCAGGGCCAATCTTCCTCAGCAAAAAGAGGAGGACTGGCAACAGATGTTAGCTCAGGGCTAATCTTCACACACAAAAAAATAGTGGTGAAAATAGTGGTGACGGTTGCACAACTTCGTGAATGTAAGAAAAACCACGAACTGTACACTCTAAAAGGGTGGGCTTTATGGTATGCAAATTACACCTCAATAAAAAATTCTTTTTCTAAAAGGAAGAGGAATACTTTCATTAGAGGGAAAAATCAGGCAGTTTTTTTGATAAGTTAAATACTAAATAATGCAAACAAAAAAATCTAGGTGTTAGGGCCGGCCCCATGACCAAGTGGTTAAAGTTCTGTGCACTCTGCTTCAGCAGCCGAGGTTCGTGGGTTCAGATCCCAGATGCAGACCTACACCACTCGTCAAGCCATGCTGTGGCAGCAATCCACACACAAAATGGAGGAAGAATGGCACAGATGTTAGCTCAGGGCAAATCTTCCTCAGCAAAAACAAACAAACAAACAAAACCTGGGTGCAGAACTGTGTCAAGCATGCTACTCTTTGTGTTAAAAAGAAAACACATTGATTTTGACTCCCCCAGAGAAGGAAGACGGATGCCTGGAGGAGACGTCACTGAATCCCCTTGTGAACTCTCAACTACATGAACATATCACCCACTCAGAGTTTTACAGAAAAAACGACGCTCCTTGCTGGAACGTGACAAGAGCTCTAGCCATGACATGCCAGCTAACTACTTTTGCTATTAGGTGGGTCTGAGAATAACTCACAAATGTGTGAACTCCAAAACCCATTAACATCCTGTAGACAGAACAGGCCAGTTTGGTGCTGCACAGAGAGGGAGTGACCCCTGCCTACTGGCATCTGCTTACCTGGGTGCCTTTTGGAGTCCTATCTACTTTAACACACAAGTAATCTCCATTTTTCTGCCAATGTAGCTTGCAATCCACAACATTAAACAGATTCCTAACTCTGATCTCTTGTCTGGTAGGAAGCTGCATCAGGGTCACCCTGGCGGGAATATCTTTGTCTTCAGGCACCCAAAAGGCTATTATGTTACCACCAGGAGACCAAGAAAAGTCTCTGCGGAACAAAGAAAATAAAACGTTATATAAGGACCGGCTGAGTGATGACAAAAACGAAAAGCAGCAGAGAACTTAAGCGCTCATCTCCTGTATTAAAACTTGGCACTGGCACATTTACCACCACCAAGAGCCACAGCTCATACTTACCTGGGAGCTGCCCACCGTGAGCACTGCTCCAGGAACTGTATGTGCAGCTCACCTCATCCTCCTAACAACTCTGGGACATGAGGACGCTGACTTTGCCAGTGAGGAAAGACAGAGATGCTAATACTGCCACACAGTGGATCAGTAAGGATGCACAATGCAGGCTCTGCAACCACCCCTACTCTTCACCACCACAGAGCCTGCTGCTACACGGCAAGCAAAATGAGTTTTAGGCTGTTGGGCCCAGCTATATGATTTCTGAGGATTCATTAAGGTGCTGAAGGGGAAAAACCCCAAATCGAAAGTGTAAGAGGATTAAGGAAGAATGAGGGCAATTCTCTCCACTATGTAACTACCCTAGAGGGCAGGTGCTGGGATGAACAATTCATGAGTTTCCCTCTGTGGAGACTATCTTCACTTCTGCATTTATTGAGAATCAGTTCCTAGATAGCCATAATTTTGCCAAGAATGTAAAAATAAAAGGAATAAGAGTTGCAATTTGGTGAAGGCCATCCAAACCCCACTGCATGGATCACCAGAGCAACAAGAAGACCTTTCAACTAAGAGCAGTCCCCCTCTTCCTCAGACTGCACCCCCAAGCCTCTGGCTCCAAGGCAGGGAACATGAAAGGAAGCGGACCCGAGACTCCGCGGCCCTCAAGATGCACCTCTGTGCAGAAAGGGGAAGGCTAACAGGAGGGCTGAGTGGGGGCCCACTAACCAGCAGCCCAGGTGGTAGCAGCCTCAAACCTGCTGTGCCATCCTTGTGCCTAGAACAAGTACAGTGTTTTCTCTACCGTGTAAGAGCCCAGCGCCTACATGAGAGAGCAAACCAACCTGACTGGGTGAGACAGTCACTTACTTTATGCCAGAGATCTTCAGGCTCTTCTTGTCCAAAAGACCCATGGACTGCCAGAAAAAACGAGGGTTATGATTCAGTCAAATCACGCCAATGTCTTGATAATATACACAATTTTTTACAAAAAGGCTACAAGAGGTTCTGATGTGAGCTTGCTAAGCGAGCAGTGTCAGCACAGAGGGTGACATACAAACAATGAAAACAATTCACATCCCCAAGCCATTTCATTAACTCCCATCCTTAATTCCCTGCAGCAGCAGAAGTAGGGGCTGGCAGATTCAAGACCAGAATCCAGGACAGGAGAGAGTAACAACACAGGGGGACCCTGCTTTCACTCTGCACGCATACAGCTCCTCCACCAAAAGCTAAGGGAAAGCACTCGTCTGCGAGCAGCTAGTGAATCCGACAAGCAACTGACAGGGCTGCTCATTTTTCTCAGATAACTGAGTCACTTACAGGAGTTTCATAGATACTGAGAGTATCAACTGTCATTCTGGCAAAGAATTTACCATCATGGCTCCATCTACAAAGAACAAGAAGAAAAGAAGTGCCAGGCTCTGTCATTGAAAAGCAAAGGCTACAAAGAGGTCATCACTGGCTACCAGTGGTCTACTTACTTAAAAATAGGCCAGTGGGCTGAGCTTTCACAGTGAAACCCTCTCTTCTTCTGGCCAGTAAGGATGTCCCAGATGATGATGGCCTGAGGGTCATCCTGAGTGTCCATCAAGGGGCTGAAAGTCACCAGGTACCTGTAACAGAGCAAAGACTTTATCATCTCCTGCACTCTCCATCTTCTCACTGGAGGTCACAACTATGTGCAGATGTGGTGAGTACACCTGCACCCACGCTACAGTGGAGGGGTGAGCTGCCACTCCAGAAGGTCACTCCAGGCATGGGAGAGGCTGCCACAACAAGCAGTCAAGGCTCATGCACTTCCTCCAAAACCCCAGGCTTCCCTGACAATGCTCTCTCATCAGGAGACCCTACTGGAAACATGGAGTGGAACCATCTCCACGTCACTAAGCACTGGGTCACTCTTGACACCAGGGCACTCCAAGGGTCATCTTAAAATGTTTCTCCACTAAAATCAAGGTAAGGAAAGATCCAACAGATTCCAAACAAGTCTGCTCGTGTGCTCTAGTGGGAGGAGTGATATGGAATCCTCAGACTTTATCTTCATTGAAATTTAATGAAGACAACAGGTGAACCGAACAGCTGGTCACGTGTGGTTCAAAAGCAAGTCTACATCTGATGGGGCGTTTGGTGCCCAGGGCTTCTCCTGGTAATTATTCACCCAACTGCTGCCTTGTCGACACCCATGGCACCCATGCATGTAGCTTACACAAAGTGTAACTATCTAAATCACACCGCTCTCTCAGAACAGTGCAAGGTAGGAAAGGCAGAAACAGACGCAAGAGAGAACAGAGCCAGCCCCCTTGCTGGTTTCTCAGTAATACTTCTAATGACTGCACCTTCTCCTCGTAAGGCTCTGTGTCATCCTAATTCACTAGATTAGTAATAGTGGCTGGAGTCACTTCCCCCGACAAGTTGTTAAATTCCCTCCTCAGACCTATCCTACACACCTCGAAAGGACACACTACAAGACTATCCTTGAACTACAGAAACTAAGTGCTTGACTGAAAAATAGATTTTTCACATTGTCATCTGTATGACCAAAGCAGGCATTCACTCACTCAATCAAGTATTTCACGGGTTGGGGACTTTGCAGAGCACCGGGAATATAATTATGAGTAAGAGATGGGCCAATCTCTATCCTTGAGTGACAGACAGATGTGTAAACAGACAAATCACAACTTAATGTGATAAGTCTAGCAACACAATGTCTATGAGAATGCAGGTGGAAGTAACTGCCTGAAGGACTGAGGCAGGTTCACATGAGATGAACAGATGGAGGAAGCCTTCTAACCTGCCTGTCATCTTAGCACAGAGACCAAGAGTCTCTATGTGGATCCGATTTCCACATATTGCTGCTGGAATGAGAAATATCAATTATTCTGTACCAAACACAGGAAAAGTGGTTGCGAACACATGCAAGAATACACTACGTAAAAACTATTTTATCAAAATTAACCAACATCCATCAAACAGAACTTACAGTAAACAAGAAATACAAGGATAACAGGGACAAGTTAAACATCGCCTCAAGGAAGGAATCAGACTGATCCCAAGGTGACAATTTACAACCCATCTGGTCCTGTCGTAACAAGTCAATATCAAAACAGGCAGGGAAGGACGTACAGCTCAAGATGCAAGAGGATTAAGAGAAAAAAGGACTAAACACAATGTGCACACCAGACTGAATCCAGGTTTGAACAAACTAGCTGTAAATAAAAGCTATTTGCAGACAAATGGGGAACCTGAACATTTATCAATATGAGATGATATTAAGGAATCATTACCAGCATTGTTAGGTGTGTAACAGAATTGTTATTACACAGGACATCTTTATTCTGAAGTGATGCACACTTTTGTACACATGCCTACCACTATAAAAGACACAAAAAATTTTTGAAGCAAGTATGGCAAAATAAAAAAATCATTAAATCTAGGTAATTAATATATGGATGTTACTGTAAGTACTCTCTTTTAGTTTTCCATGTTACAAAAGTTTCATGCTAAAAAGCTAAAACAAAATAAAGCAGGAGTGATGTCAGCATCATGGCAGGGTTAAGTTTTTCCCTTTGTCTCTCCCCTCTAAGTTACAACTAAACGGACATTCATTAACCCACAAAGGATTCCGTGCACAGCACAAGAGTAAATCTGAGAGATCCATGCAGCCAGTCATCTGAAGGTGGAGGGAGTGGGTCCCCAGGAGGCAGTGGAAATAGGTGAGCGCACCCCTCCCGGTCTCCAGCAGCAGCGATCTAGGTTGTGGGTCCTCACACAGTAGCCAGTATGACTGTAACAGGCGGCGGGGGCAGCCCAGCCCACGCAAATGCTTTTCAAGTTACAGCCCAGCCCGTGGGAGCACCCACAGTGCCACAATGGCCCTGCCCAAGGGAAGACACCCCACTGAATGGTGCAACTCAGCCCCTGCAAAGGAGCCACCACCAAGCACAGAAGCTCAGCCAACCCACCAGTGAGCGCAGAGCCCACAAGCACAGAGCTTGTGGCAAAAGAAAGTGCTCCTTGCCTCCCACCTAGTGCACCAGCTTGGCCAGTGCCCTGCCAAGTGCAGTGGTGCCACACCAGAGCAACCCACCAGTGGAACACAGAGGCCCCACGTGTGTGTGTGTGCATGCGTAACCTGCCAAGTGGCTGCCGCCAGCGCACAAATGTAGAGCAGCCCCACGCGCACAACTTCCAGCAGACAAGCAGGATCAGAAAACATAGTTCCTACCCCACCAGTGGTGGGAGGCAGAATCTGCGACCTGATACTACCACAAATGCACCAGCAAAGGATCACTTCATCAAACACCATGAAGAAGTACAGTAACACTTCAGAGCAGAAGAAAAATGACAAGTCTGCAGAAACCAATCCTGAAGTCACAGAAATTTACAATCTAAATGACAGAGAATTCAAAACAGTCATCACAAAGAAACTCAACGAGTTACAAGAAACTCAGAAAGACAGTTCAATGAGCTCAGAAATAAAATTAATGAGTAGAAGCAATACTTCACCAAAGCAGTTGAAACTCTAAAAAACACAAACCAAACAGAAATTCTATGCCATTTTTTTTTTTGTGAGGAAGATCGGCCCTGAGCTAACGTCCATGTCAATCCCCCTCTTTTTGCTGACGGAAGACCGGCCCTTAGCTAACATCTATTGCCAATCCTCCTCTTTTTTTCCCTTTTTATCCCCAAAGCCCCAGTAGATAGTTGTATGTTATAGTTGCACATTCTTCTAGTTGCTGTATGTGGGACGCCACCTCAGCATGGCTGGACAAGCGGTGCGTCGGTGCACGCCCAGGATCCAAACCTGGGCCGCCAGTAGTGGAGCACGCCCACTTAACCACCAAGCCACGGGGCCAGCCCCAAAACAGAAATTCTAGGTATGAAGAACAATTAATAAGATAAAAAATAATCTAGAATCCATAAAAAATAGAGCTGATGATATGGAAGACAGAATTAGTGATTTAGATAGAAATACAGAAATGCTTCAGGTGGAGGAGAGAGAACTAAGATTTTAAAAAATGAAGAATAGTGACATCAGCATCATGGCGGAGTGAACTCTTCCCTTAGTCTCTCCCAACCAAGATACAACGAAAAGGACATTCATTAACCACGGAGGACACACACACACAAGACAACAGACGTCTCAGAGATCCACACAGCCATATGTCTGAAGGTGGGGGTACGGGACTCCCTGGGAGGCAGCGGAAAGAGGTAAAGAGATCTCCTCTCCCTTGCCGAGCAGTAGCGATCTAGGGAGCAGGACCTCCCGGGGCTGCTGGTGTGCGATACTGAGAGGAGAAAGGGAAAAAAGACAGCACCCCATGGAAACACTTGCATTCTCAGAGGTGCCTCCCAGCCTCTGGGAAGGCTTCACACCAAGGTGGATAAACAATCGTGGGGGCATCCACACCAAGCCAAGCAGCCCAAGCCAGCAGACACTGCATGCAGAGCAGGATCATGCACATGAAGGAAAGCGCCTCTCTCCCCTCCCATCTGCCACACCAGCTCAGCTGGTCAGCCAAAACAGAAGATCCTCGCCAGAACGCCTGCACGTACATGTGTAAAGCAGCCAGGCCCTGTCGGCACAGCTTCCAACAGACAGGCACAGCTACCGGGGGTGGCAGCAGGCTCAGAAGACAGCTCCTGCCCCTACAGTAGTGGCAGGCAGAATCTGCGACCAGATACTACCACCCCATCAAACAGCGTGAAGAGGTATACTAACACTCCAGACCAGAAGAAAAATGACAAGTATCCAGAAATCAATCCTGAAGTCACAGAAACTTATAATCCAAATGACAGAGAATTGAAAATAGCTACCATAAAAAAATTCAACAAGTTACAAGAAAACTCAGAAAGTTCAATGACCTCAGGAATAAAATTAATGGAGAGGGAATTCTTCACAAAAAAGATGGAAAATATAAAAAAAAAAAAAAATCAGAAAAGTTGGAGATGAAACAATGAATGAGATAAAGGAAAATCTGGAGTCCTTAAAAAATAGAGCTGATATTATGGAAGACAGAATCAGTAATTTAGAGGACAGAAATATAGAAATGCTGCAGATGGAGGAGCAGAGAGAACTAAGACTAAAAATAAATGAAGAAATTCTCCAAGAAATATCTGACTCAATTAAGAAATGCAACATAAGGATTATAGGCATTCCAGCAGAAGAAGAGAGGGAGAAATGAGCAGAGCTTGTTCAAAGAAATAACAGCTGAGAACTTCCCAAACCTGGGAAAAGACCTGGAATTACATTTAACTGAAGTTAATAGAACTCCAAATTATATCAATGTAAAAAGACCTTCTACAAGGCGTGTATTAGTAAAACTGGCAAAAGCCAATGACAAAGAAAAAATATTAAGGGCAGTAAGGCAGAAGAAAATAACCTACAAAGGAACCCCTATCAGGCTTTCAGTGGATTTCTCAGCAGAAACATTACAGGCTGGGAGACAGTGGAATGATATATTCAAAATTGTGCAAGACAAAAATGTTCAGCCAAGAATACTCTATCTAGCAAAATTATCCTTCAGATACGATGGAGAAAAGCTTTCCCAGATAAACAAAAGCTGAGGGAGTTCATCACCACAAGACCCACCCTACAAGAAATGACCAAGAAAGCCTTCATACCTGAAGAAAAAAAAAGGGGGGTTACAAAGCCTTGAGCAAAGAGATAGATAGACAAAACCAGAAAATTGCAGCTCTCAATCAGAACAGGTTAGCAAACACTCAATTATAACATTAAAGATAAAGGGAAGGAAAGCCTCAAAAGTAACTATCCTCACTTCATTTTAATCACAAACTCACAACACAAAACGGAATAAGTAGTGACAACAATAACTTAGATGGGGAAGAGGAAAGGGATGGAATCTGCTTAGACTAAGGAAATAGGAGACTATCAGAAAACAGACTATCTCACCTACGAGATCTTTTATACAAACCTCACAGTAACCACTAAACAGAAAATAAGAGCAGAGACACAAATGATAAATAAAGAGAAAAACGAGAAAACCATCATAGAGAAACACCAAACTGAACTGGCAGTTCAGAAATACACAGGCTGAGAAGCAAGGGAAATAGAAAACAACCGGAAAACAAGTGATAAAATGGCAGTATTAAGCCCTCATATATCAATAATCACTCTAAATGTAAGTGGACTGAATTCTCCAATCAAAAGACACACAGTGGCTGGATAGATTAAAACACAAGACCCAACAATATGCTGCCTCCAGGAAACACATCTCAGCTGTAAAGACAAACAGGCTCAGAGTGAAGGGATGGAAGACAACCCTCCAAGCTAATGGCAAACAAAAGAAAGCAGATGTTGCCATACTTAGACAAAGCAGACTTCAATATAAAAAAGGCAATGAGAGACAAAGAGGGGCAGTATATAATGATAAAAAGGACACTCCACCAAGAGGACATAACATTTATGAAAATATGAAGATGAACAAAATTGACAAACCCTCAGCCAGACTCACTAAGAAAAAGAGAAGGCTCAAATAAATAAAATTAGAAATGAATGAGGAAAAATTACAACAGATACCACAGAAATACAAAGAATTATAAGATAATACTATGAAAAACTATATGCCAACAAATTGGACAAACTAGGAGCAATGGATAAATTCTTAGACTCATACAACCTCCCAAAACTGAATCAAGAAGAAATAGAGAATCTGAAGAGCCCAACCACAAATAGAGATTGAAACAGTAATCAAAAGCCTCCCCCAAAATTAAAGTCCAGTACCAAGATGGCTTCTCAGGAGAATTCTACCAAACATTCAAACAAGATTTAACACCTATCCTTCTCAAACTATTCCAAAAAATTCAAGAAGACAGAACCCTTCCTAACTCATTCTAAGAAGTCAACATCCTTCTGATCCCAAAGCCAGACAAGGACAACACAAAGAAGGAAAATTACAGGCCAATATCGCTGATGAACATAGATACAACAATCCTCAACAAAATATTGGCAAACTGAATACAGTAATACATTAAAAGGATCATACATCATGATCAAGGAGGATTTATACCAGGGACCCAGGGATGGTTCACAGGGATGCCACTGATGGCAAATCAATCAATGTGATACACCACATTAATAAAATGAGGAATAAAAATCACATGATCATCTCAATAGATACAGAGAAGACATTTGACAAGATCCAACATCCATTTATGACAAAAACTCTCAATAAAATGGGTATAGAAGGAAAGTACCTCAACATAATAAAGGCCATATATGACAAACCCACAGCCAACAAACCCACAGCCAACATCACACTTAACGGTGAAAAACTGAAAGTCATCCCTCTGAGAACAGGAACAAGACAAGGGTGCCCACTCTCACCACTCCTATTCAACATAGTACTGGATGTTTTTGTCAGAGCCATTAGGCAAGAAAAAGAAATAAAAGGTATCCAAATTGGAAGGCAAGAAGTAAAACCTTTGCTGTTTGCGAATGACATGATTTCACATATAGAAAACCCTAAAGAATCCACCAGAAAGCTATTTGAAATAATCAACAACCACAGCAAAGTTGCAGGATAGAAAATCAACTTACAAAAATCAGTTGCATTTCTATACTCTAACAACAAACTATCAGAAAGAGAACTCAAGAATACAATCCCATTTACAATTGCAACAAAAAGAAAAAAAATGTCTAGGAGTAAAAGGTGCAAGACCTATAGGTTGAAAACTATAAGACATTATTAAAAGAAATCGGTGACGACACAAAGAAATGGAATGATACTCCATGCACACGGATTGGAAGAAGTTAGAATGTCCATATTACCTAAAGCAATCTATAGATTCAATGCAATTCCAATCAGAATCTCAATGACATTCTTCACAGAAATAGAACAGAGAATCGTAAAATTCACATGGGGCAGCAAAAGACCCTGAATAGCTAAAGCAATCCTGAGAAAAAAGAACAAAGCTGGAGGTATCACAATCCCTGACCTCAAAGTATACGACAAAGCTACAGTAATCAAAACAGCATGGTACTGGCACAAAAACAGACACACAGATCAATGGAACAGAATTGAAAGCCCTGAAATAAAACTACACATCTACGAACAGCTAATCGTCAACAAAGGAGCCAAGAACATACAATGGAGAAAGGAAAGTCTCTTCAATAAAATGGTATTTGGGAAAACTGGACAGCCACATGCAAAAGAATGAAAGTAGACCATTATCTTGCACCACGCACGAAAAATTAACTCAAATGGATTAAAGACTTGAATTTAAGACCTGAAACCATAAAACTCCTAGAAGAAAATACAGGCAGTACACTCTTGGACATCGGTCTCAGCAGCATCTTTCAGGCAAGGGAAACAAAAGAAAAAAGAAACAAATGGGACTTCATCAAACTAAAGAGCTTCTGCAAGGCAAAGGAAACTATGAACAAAACGAAAAGACAACCCACCAACTGCGAGAAAATGTTTGCAAATCATATATCTCACAAGTGGTTAATTTTCAAAATATATAAACAACTTATGCAACTCAACAACACAAAGACAGACAACCCAATCAAAAAATGGGGGGGGGGGGCTGGCCCAGTGGTGTAATGGTTAGGTTCACACGCTCTGCTTCAGAGGCCCAGGGGTTCACAGGTTCAGATCCCAGGTGCGGACCTATGCACCACTCATCAAGCCATGCTGTGGCAGCATCCCATGTATAAAATGGAGGCAGATGGGCACAGATTGTAGCTCAGGGTTAACCTTCCTCAGCAAAAAGAGGAAGACTGGCAACGGATGTTAGCTCAGGGCTGATCTTCCTCACCCCAAAAGAAATGGGCAGAAGATATGAACAGACATTCTTCCAAAGAAGATATACAGATGGCCAAAAGGCACATGAAAAGATGTTCAACGTCCCTAATTACCAGGAAAATGCAAATTGAAAGAACAAGGAGATATCACCTCACACCGTCAGAATGGCTATAATTAACAAGGTGAGAGATAATAAGTGTTGGAGAGGATGTGAAGAAAAAGGAACCCTCAAACACTGCTGGTGGGAAAGCAAACTGCTGCAGCCACTATGAAAAACAGTATGGAGATTTCTCAAATAATTAAAAATAGAAATACCATATGACCCAGCTATCCCACTACTGGGTATTTATCCAAAGAACATGAAATCAATAATTCAAAGAGATTTATGCATCCTTATGTTCACTGAAGCATTATTCACAACAGCCAAGACGTGGAAGCAACCCAAGTGCCCATGAACTGATGAACGGATAAAGATGTGGTCTATATATACAGCGGTATACTACTCGGCCATAAAAAAAGACAAGAGTCCCATTTGCAACAACATGGATGGACCTGGAGGGTATTAAGTTAAGCTAAATAAGCCGGACGGAGAAAGACAAACATCACACGATTTCACTCATATGTGGAAGATAAACAAACACATGGATAAAGACAACAGATTAGTGGTTACCAGAGGGGAAGGGGGTGGGGGGTGGGCGAAAGGGGTAAAGGGGCACATATGTAAGGTGACAGATAAAAAACTATACTATTGGTGGTGAGCATGATGCAGTCTATATGGAAACTGATATATAATAGAACACCTAAAATTACACAATGTTATAAACCAATATGACCTCAATAAAATTGAATAAAAAATTAAAAAAGCAGGTGCAACACGATGTCTCAGTAGCCCTGCAACACAAGGTGCTCCCATCAGTCCCACATGAGCTCAGACTACATAGTAAGATGCTGAAATGTTGCACAGACATCGCTGCACAGCATCGACAAAGACAGAGGATGGGACAGGGAGTGCACCAGCAACCCAGGGAAGGCTTCAGAGACAAACCCTGTTCAGGGGGCTCAGAGAACTGGGGGGAGAGAGCGTTCTGGGCAGTGAAGCCGTGAGCAGACAGCAAGGAGAATGCTACAGGGTCGTGGGCAGGGCTCCTTCAAGCTCCTCATGTCACACCTCCTCACACAAAGCTTTACTACATGGATTATTTCATACATGAGAAAAATTCATTCACAAGAAAATTATCTTCAAAATACATGATGTTGGACTGGATCCTGAAGAAAAAATATTTTGCACAGAACATTATTGGATCAAGAGACAAAACTGGAAAATGCTAGTGTTTAAATGAAAGTATTAAGTCTATGTTAAGTTCCCTAAAGTTAGTAACTGTAGTGTGGGTATGTATGAGAATTTCCTGTTTCTAGGAAATGCACACTTGGGGTAAAGGGACATAACACTTCAACTTACTCCCAAATAGCTGATGAAAAAAGTATGGTAAGTGTAGCTGAAGAAATTGACAAAGCAAATGCAACAAACTGTTAATTGGAGATTCTTGGTAACCAGTGTATGGGAGTTCTCTGTACTCTTCTTGCACTTTTCCTATTAAGTTTGAAATTACTGTAAAATAAAAAAGTTTAAAATCATCTGTAGAAGGGTGGCATGAGGTGAAAAGAATAGACTCTATCTGCACTTTCTAACAGCTTACCTTTCACAAGGTGAGAAATCAATCAGCTGCACCCCCTGGTGGCTGAACCTCTGAATCTGTTTGAACTTCTCTCCCCCCCAGAGAGCAATGCCTCGCTGATGGAAGGTTGCCAGGTAGGTGCCCTTTGGAGACCAGCGCACGTATGTCTCTGTCCACCTCTGTGGAAAAAGTCAGTGCCAACATTAACACGACAACAAAAGCCAAATGCAAAGACCCCTCCTTTCACATGAATTTACTGCTCAATCTCTTAACTGAAAAACAGAGAAGCTTATTCACTTCTCATGACTTATTTCAAAGCTGGAAGAAAAGAGTTATCCTCACTTGACCTGCTCTTGTACCCAAGTTCCCCTCTGTTAAGGAAATTCAGAGGTAAGTCTCCACGTGTCAGCAAATACCCACCGCTCGCTCTTCAATGGAGACAGGATCCTTCACATCATTCCAGAATATGGAAGTACGGTCTCCACTCTCAAAAATCACACTGTATTGATCCCTGCATTCTGCCTCTTCAAGCCAATAACGTAAATTTCCCTAGAAAAAGAACCAAAGGCAAGGAATGTAATATATTTCATTAATTTTAATCAAAGAAAATGTATTCATAACTATTGGTCTTAGATGTGACTAATTCAGTCAGCATCTTCAACTCCTGAGGAATTCACCACCTCAAGGCCAGAGGTTAGCCAGCATTTCTCTCAACTACTTACAGATTTATACAACATACCAAGTCTTTGAAAGGTTGTTTCTCTGGAATATCCCACTCATCACTGATTGTCATATACCTGGAAGAGAAAAAGACTGTTTAGTACCACACAGTAACGATCAGAACAAGGGGTGAGTGACCAGAATGGTGATGAGGCTGGTGCCTCTCAACCACAGGCAGCTCTGCACTCCTCCTCTGTCTCCCCTAGAGCAGGGAAAGGATGACTAAGAGCCATGAGGTGAGGGGCTGCTGGTGGTGAGGGAGCTACTGGCAGGAGTGAGGGGGCCACGCATGTGAAATGGTCCTGCAGTGGTGTGACTGGAGAATGGAACCAGCAATCCCCCGAGAAATGCCGAGCCGTTCAGGCACAGGTGACTGTCCAGGTTCTCAGGACCGGAGTCAGAACTCACTTGTCAAAGTCAGTGAAGAGGTTGACTCTGAACGTGTGCTGCTTGTCGAGCTTGTAGCCATCGGCATTTTTCACGGCATCCACGGCATGGGCAGGAGACGCATACTCCAGGAATATGTACCTGAAGGGAGAAGTAGGGCAACATGCACAAGTGTGGACTTTCAGATCAGACAGGTCATGCACCATACACACAGACCCCTGCACAGGCGTCGTTAAGCACTGTAAGCATCTGTGAGCGTCTTACTCCACGCCCCCGAGGCAGTGACATCACTAGCAGAGTAGTTCCCTAAACACAAACGAAATCCTACCAGAAGATCCAAAGTCTCTGACTTCACAACCATAAATTACAGAAAAGCTAATTAATAAAAATGTTCATTATCTTGACTGTAGTAATGGCTGCACAGACGTATGTACATCAAAACTTATGAAATTGAACACTTTAAAACTATGCAAGTTTCCTGTACGTCAATTATTTTGATAAAGCTGTTGGCAAATCTAAAAAACATGGATAGTCTAACATTGTGTATTACAGGTAAAATTACAAAAGCTCTCATAACTAAAAGTATAACACACTGCTGGTCAAAGCAGAGGTTACCCTTCCACCTAGTTCCCGAAACAGAAAATATTAGACGTGTTACTTGTATTGGATAATTTTTTTAGAACCTAAAACTATTCTAGGTAGTTTCCAAAATCTGTATTAAAAAAAAATTAAACTTCACCATTTTCTCACTCCTATCCTATAAAAGACAATTTTGCCTGTACTCTCAAAGGTTGATATTTACATGAAATTTTAATGGAGAAAGTCTGACAAGCTTGTGGAGCCACAAACAGAACTTTTGTTACTGCCGGTCGAGAGTAAACTGGTAACAACCGAGTGGTTGTTATAATTTGACACTGTCTAGCAGCACTGCAGACATTGTCTAGGGGCATTTTACACAACCTCACAATTCATCTACTAGGTATGTAACAAAGAAACTTACACCTGTTCAAAAGGGGATAGGTACAAGACTGTTTATCATTGCAAAACACTAAATGTCAACTGTTAGGAAAACAGACAAACTGTTGTATGATACAAGAGGATACACAGCATTTAAAATGAAGGAACTAGAATTACATTCACCAACACAGAAAACCTAATATTGAATTTAAAAAGCAAACTCCAGGACACACACCTCACACTACCATTTTTAAAAGATGCACTGTTTTAGGTAACACTAGGGAAACAAGCTGCTAATTAAGCAACGACACAACGCTTTCACCTAGACTGTAAGAAGTATCCCCATTTCAGAGATGTTAAAATGAGAAAAAAAAAGCACATCTTAAATTAATAAAATACCATATGTAAAACGTTCCTGAAATTCTGCCAGCTTCCAGATCTGTCGGGCCCTTTACCCAGGATGTATCTTGTGTCGATTAGTGTTCTGACAGCAGAAGATTTAAATATTGTGATTTCTTAAGAATTTAGCAGCCAACCTACAATACCCTAACTCAGAGCCATCCCCCTTCATTTCCTTCTCCCTGCCTGATGACCCCAGGACCAGTTCACCACTCTGTCCGCACAGCTGCCAGCTGAGGGCAGCGTGAAGAAACGAATGAGGTCAAACGGCCATGGTGAGGCATCAGATACCAAGAAAATACTCTTCAGTGAGGGGGAACATCACTCACCCTTTCGTCTTTCCATCCTCCTCCGGATAGAAATCATTTGTGATTTTCCCAAACTTGGAAAAGATCTTATGGATGACATTTTTGAGTTTTTCCAGACGGTCAGGTCCCACCTGAGGAACATTGTCCACCACGATCACCGAATCAATGCCATCTGCTTCCTGGGGCCGATCTTTGAGTATATCTCCCAGTAATTCTGTATAAGTAAAAGATCTGTCAAATGACTTTTTTTGACCAACCAAAACAATCTATTAGCTTAGGATATTGAACACATTTCCAAGAAGCAAAAAATGAATAACTGACCTAAATGCTTCCACTGTGAACAAAAGAAATCATGGCCCTGGCTTGCCTCAAAATTTACATTTGAAAGAATTAGGAAGATTTTAATTCTTCACACTCCGTTTCGATAGTCAAGATACGTCAATTCTTCACACTTTTTTTTTTTTTTTAATAATTTTATTTATTTACTTTTTTCCCCCAAAGCCCCAGTAGGTAGTTGTATGTCACAGCTCCACATCCTTCTAGTTGCTGTATGTGGGACGCGGCCTCAGCATGGCCGGAGAAGCGGTGCGTCGGTGCGCGCCCAGGATCCGAACCCAGGCCACCAGCAGCGGAGCTCGAGCACTTAACCGCTAAGCCACAGGGCCGGCCCTGTTCACACTCTGTTTTGATAGTCAAGATACGTCAATCGATTTCTGGCAATAATGGAATATTTTAAATGAATTTTTTAAAAAAGACTTTACTATTGCAGAATGCAAACAAAGAGGAAAGCCTTTCACTGGGAATCAGAAAAACCCAAAGTGAGCTGGGGGATGCCTGTGGTGAGCCCTCCCCAACCCACCTCCAATGCAACCCACCACCAGGCACTGTCTTTAGTTTAAAACAAAACAACCGTTACCCAATATTCCTAAAACAAGCCTTGTTAGAAAACAACACGGGGCTGAGACCAGCATCTAAACCAGGAGACTAGAGAACACTGAAGCTCATGAGAGCGCACAAATAATGACACATTACAGCTTCACGATTGACACTGTCTCCAAGTCCATGAAATACCTCACAGGGCTGTTGCTGACACCAGCCATTTATAGACATTCAATCCAGAAATGCTTAGGACAGTGCTTGGAACATAGCAAACAATATGTTAACTAATATTTTCATAACTACACTCAAAAAACCCAAAATGTATTACGTTCACATCACCTGCTTGTAAAATTAGGATCATAGAACCCAAATCTTAAGTACTCAAACTTCTTAGGATTGCTTCATTTCCACAAAATGGCCAGTTTCCATAAGAAAAGAAGGAAAGACAGGTATAAAAAGGACTAGAAAATAGAAACTTGGGAGGAACCAACACGAACAGGTCTGGGAAGCAGACTGGAGGCCCACTGGTCTTTCCGGGCGGTCCAATGCCATCTGAGCCCTGCCCTCTGCAGTCTTACCTGAGCCTGTCTCAGGCCTTCAGTCCTTCTGACCATAACCCTCCAGCACCCACAGAAATGCCTGACCGGCTCTAGAGATGCACATTCGGAGGTCAAGTGGAGTATCAGATCACATAAAGCAAACCCTACCATTTTAATATAAATTCTGTACAAATCCTAAACTCAATTAGCTAATCTAGAAAGCTGTAAAATTACCAGGCAGTGGGTTAAGAGCTGGAACAGAAAGACACCTTTCAAAGCTGCCATCAAAGCACACTCATGAGATGAAACTGCATCAGTAAATACAGCCAGAATGAGAGTACAAGGTAATTTTTAAACAACAGCTGAAGATAATGGCTTGTTACTCACGTATCTATGTGTTCCGGAACCTAATTATCACTCTAATTTTTGTATCACGCTCTTAAAGAATTTCAACGTGCTAAATAAGACACGTCAGGAAATATTCTCTGTTGCATTTCATTTTCAAAAGTTAAGATGAATTTTTTCCACTTTTGTTTGAAATCTTCCATCATAAAAAGTTAAAAAAGTCCACAAAAAGGGAAACAAGTCCTTTAATTTCAAGAGGTAAGCTTTGTTATCAACTATATCTAATTAAACTCAACGCTTTTATGAATGATATTGAAAATATTACCTTAAAAAAAGAATTGCCACTTAAATTTCAAAGAAGATAAAACTGAGACCAAGAAGAGAAAAAAGAAGGAAAGAGGCAGATTAGAGTCATAGCAATGCAAGACATCCTCCCTAGAGAGACTGGAGTGAAATCCTTGGGTTATTTTTAAAGCTCACTTACCATACAATTAAATGGCCTGTTAAGCCTGATCTGAATTTACAAGGTTTCCAATAACAAATTCAGCCTTTATACAAACTGTGGACTCTTCCCATAACCTTCTCTAGTTTCTAAGAATCTCCCCAAACACAGTAAGGTGAATAAACGTAGTAACTACACAATGAAGAAACACATTTCCTTCACCATTACCAGCATTCGCACCTGGTCACCCTTAACTCATGGATTCCCAATCTGGCTCCAGGAGAGAAAGAAAGAAGCAATTCTCAAAACTAAATAGCAAATATAAATAATGTTTAATGAGCCAAAACAGAAGACATTTAGTTAAAACTTTTATCATATATCAGTTTGACAGAGCACCAAAGGCAGTTGAAAAACTGAAAGGATGACTAATTGAGATGCAACTGCGCGACAGTGCTTGTTACTGTACACAGGGCACGATCTGCTCACTGAGAGACAAAAGCCAATCGTCAAGAGGCAAGATGGTGGCAGAGAAAGGGTAGTTTATAAGAGCCTGCTAGCAAGGGAAAAGATGGCTGACTAATGTCTCAAAGCACCATCTTACAGAACAAAGACTACAGGCCAGTTATATAGACGGCTGGTCTCCAGGTGTGGGAGGCATCTGGTCTCATGGTAGGGGCATCCCTCTGATCTCTAGGCGGGGCATCTGGTCTCAGGGTGGGGGCATCCATCTGGTCTTAGTCCCTGGCAGTCTTTTGTTTTACTGGATATGCATCAGAGACTGGAGCAACACCCTGTACCCTAATCTTTCAGCTGTCATTGATGATGGCTATCAGCAGAGTCTCTGCCCAGGGATCACCACATTTCTAAGGAACTCAAAAGAACAAAGTTATCAACTTATAGCAGCTGGGAGGGGCCATAAAATCCAGAGTTAGTCAGAGATCATTCAAAGTTACAATACGGCTTCCCTTATGTCAACCTCGTGTTGAGCTGGTATCAGTGCTGATCTGTCTCAAAGAATGAGGCAAGATGACTTTGTGGTGCTTATATTGCACCCACGAGAGGGCTTTTCAGGAGACTCAGTCCATTTTCAAAAGAACCCTTACTGCCTTCTGCAGTGCTCTCTGACCCCCTACTGGGCAATTCTCACCCCACAATTTGTACTTGAGCTACTGACCATAACCAAGTAGCCTCAAGAAAACTGACAGCTGGCCTGCTCAGTTTTAGTTCCTTAGGACCAGAAGCTTCACAGCTCACTCTGGCAAAAACATGAGGATCACAAAGCTCCCAAAGGCCCTCCCAGCAGTCACCTAGCCTGGCTGGCCTATGCTCATTGCAGCATCCTCTGACTGCCACACACTCCAATTCTGGAAATAATTCACATGCTAGAAATCTTGTATGAATTAGATGTGCTCAAATAATGCTTTAAAAAAATCAATCACAGAGTAAATACTGAAGAGCTCAAAATAGGCTTTAACATCAAAACTTCGATTTTACAATACAATATAAATTGATGCGGTAAAAAAGAATGCTGGTCTGGGCAGCAGGATGGGGAGGGGGTGTCCCAGCGACACCGCCTCCCCGTGAGTTCTCAGCAACCTACCTCGCCATAAGGAACACATTTCCTCTTGGCTGAGGGGCTTCCAGTCCATGGCTCTCAAGTCTTCACTAGCTTGTGGAGCCTTTCCTGCTTTTCATGCTAAAATATCTTTTGTCTTACGAAATAATGTACGCTAACAGCGAGAGTAACAGGTAGCTCTTTAAAATTATGTTTAAATTAAAAGTTGACAACTCTGTGTTGGTTCCCTAAGTTTTCTTTCTCATTTTACTTGAGATTCTTTATAATTCTGACTCAACTTCAGTGTGATCAGACACAGTATCTCAAAAACACATTTACATCTCGATGTTGTAACATCTTATTTTTTTGGTGTATTACTGGCTACTTCATTGATGTTTTATTTATTTTTCCTATTTTACTACAACAGTCAATACACAAAGGAACCCACTGATGTGCTCCCAGCTTGCAAAATTCAAATAGCTAAAAACAAAACATACACGAGTAAAAACAAATGAGATTAGCTATCACCAAAAGTCACTTTAGAAGACAGGCTTTCCCAGGCAGGAAGCAGAGGTATTGCCTATAAATTGAATCAATGGAGAAAGGAAGGCAAAGCAAGCTACAGTCAACAACACTAAACCCTGAGATCTGCCAACACAAGAATGGCGTCTGCCTACACTGAGGAAAAGGGAGAACCAAACAGGTGGCTGGCAGAGTCGGCCTGGCACTGTCCTACTAAGAACTCTCTGGAAGAAAACGCTTCCGTGGGGCAGCGGCAAAGAAACCAGCTCTACCATAACCTATTCTGAGGACAGCGTCCTATCTGCCCCTAAGAAGCCGGCACTAAGTCACTTTCAGACCTTTGACAGGTGTGGCTGTCATTCGAGGCATCCAGGCCTGTTGAGGGAAAACTGTCACCCGAGACTGTGCAGCACTGGAGTGTCCTGTTTGCTCGACCCTAATAGCCACACCACTGCCCACACGGCCACAGCTCCTGCGTGCACGCCGTCTGCCGTCGCCACTCCCCGAATTCCCGGTTAGAGTGCAAATGATTGGCTCCCCAAGTAGTCTCCATCCTGTTCCCTCTTTTCTTTTTGGAGAGAAATGAAAGCACCCAGGCTGTCACAGGACACCTTTCCTACGTGAGGGACGACGAGTGGAGAATGGGGACCTCCATGCTGAGTTCCACGGGGCAAAGCCCCTGGTGGGCTCCAAGATGCGCGGTGACCCCTTCCGCGTTCGGGGCCTCGGGAAGCTCCGCGCAGACAGCCACACCGCCTCACCTTCCTCGCTCACGTCGTCCACAAAGTCCTCGGGGTCGCTAAAGGAAGGCTCGTCCGCGCCGGCGTCCTCCGCCGCCCCGCCCTGCTCCCCGCCCGCCCCCTCGGACCCGGCCTCGGCCGCCGCGTCCT